ATTCTAATAAAGAACTCCTTCAGCTTTTGTTTATCTGGGAATGTCTTAATTTCTTCCTCACTGATGGACAGTTTTGCTAGATACAGAATTCTTGTTTGACAGTTTTGTTTTTGTTTTTGTTTTGTTTAAGCACTTTGAATATATCAGCCTACTGCCTTTTCTGCCTTTCAAAATTTCTGATGAGAAATCTGATTGTTTTTGAGGGTCCCTAATATATGTTGAATCACTTCTTGCTTTTTCCAAGACTCTCTGACTCTGGCTTTGAAAGCATGAATATAATGTGTCTTGGTGTGGGTCTCTTTGATTTCATCTTGCTTGGACTTTGTTGATCTCTTGTTTATATTCATGTCTTTCATCAAAATTGGGAGTTTTAAGACATTAGTCAAATATTCTCTCTGTGCCACTTTCCTCTCTTCTTTTGGGTCCCCACAGTGCGTACATTGGTTGGCTTGTTGTCCCACAGTTCCCTTAGGTTCTGCTCACTTCTCTGCATTCTTTTTCTTTCTGTTGCTCAGATTTGATAGTTGACGTCTCGTCTTTAAGGTCTCAGATTCTTTTGTATGCTCAAATCTGCCTTTAGATTCCTTTTGTGAATTTTTCATTTCAGTCATTGTACTTTCAGCTCCACAATTTCTTTTTGGTTTCTTTTTAGGTTTTCTTTCTATTTATTGATGTTTCCATTTTGTTCATCATTTTCTTGACTTTCTCCACATCTAATTTTTAAAGCCTATTTAAGACCGTCTCTTTCAAATTCTTTGTATAATCTACTCTCAGATCTTTTTTAGGGCAAGTTACTGTTAATGTTTTTTTCCTTTGAATCAGGGCCACGCTTTACTGTTCTTTTATGCCTTGTAATTTTGTTGTTGAAAACTGGATACGTTAATAGTGAGGTAACTCTAGAAATTGTAGTTCCCTTTCTCCCTAGAGAAGAAAGATTAAAATCTCCCATTTTTTATTTTTAATTTTTTGATTGTTATAGGCTGTCTCTGTTCTAAGGATCCGCCTGTGGTATAAGTTTAGTGTGTTTCCTGGTCATTTTTGAGCCTGCCTCTTTCCCTGGGCTTTCCCAGTGACTTCCACATTTCCCTTGTCTATGCAGTTACTTTGAAATGTTTGTGTCTCTAATGTCTGATTCCCAAAAAGGGAAAAAAAGAAAAATGAAGTGGAGGGGGGAGGGCACTGGCTCTTTAAATATTCTGTAAGTCACTTCTGCGGGAGGAGGAGGGACTTGCAACAATGGGAGGAGGTGCATCAGCAGTGTCCTACTGCCTCTTTGTCTACCCTCTGAGATTAGAAGCTACATTAGAAGCCGCAGTCGGGTCCGAACACAGATCCCTGTCGCTTGGAAGACAGATCCCTTTACCTACCATACCTCCTGTAAGCTGTGTGTAAGTTGCTCCTGGAGTACCTGCAGGGCTGCCTGTCATGGGGCTGGGTGATGGGTAGCCTCTGTCAAGCTAAGAGAGCTGAAATTGATAGAATTTGCAAGCCTTCAATAGACTCCAGAGTTCCAAAATATATCAGACAGGTTCTATCAGTGTAAATGTCTAGGTGGGAAGACAGATTCCTGGTGCTTTCTGCTTAGCCATCTACTCAGAATCCTCTCCTAATTGGCTTGGTGTTGATTTTTTTTTTCTTAATGGTCTATAATACAGGATAGCTAAGGACCACATATGAGAGTGCCTACTACGTTTCAACATGCACTTGACAGATGTTTCTTTCTTTAATCTTTTTTTTTTTTTTTTAAAGGTAGTTGCTATAGTCATTCTGTAATGGCTACATAGGAACATACAAAGTGAGTCTGTTTCATTGGACTTTGTGGGTAGATACCTTGTTCACATGACCTAAAAATAGTAACAAATCTTTTAAATCATCCTCACCACTGGTCAGTTGTAGTCAAAATAAACAAGTATAGGAAGAGTTGATATATTCTCTGTGGATTACTTGACAGAGAATAGCATTTGATTAAATAGATGTAGTTATAGAGCTACCTACAGAAGGTGTGGAGAACATCAATGAAGCTTGCAAATAAGATCAAATGAACTAAATATTTAAGAGATTTGCTATCTCTTTTAAGATATCTGATTAGAAATATTGCAATTATTATTAAAATTAAATTTCTTAAAAAGTTTAATCTCTTTATTTCCTTATTCTACTGAAGCTTTTTGAATCCCCCAGAGATAAAGACAAAAATGATTATTAGAGGATTTATCTGCACATATTATAGGAAAGTATTAAAAAAAAAATCAGAAGAGAAAGCAACTGTTGCAAGTACCAGAAAATTATGCTATTAATTTAAGTGTCATCAGAGCACAAAAGATCACATTCCAGGACTGTGAGAAAATTATTAAAATACTGGAAATAATAGTACTTAAGATGAAGATATTATACTCTAAGATCTGGTTAAGTGACTGACATTATTATATCACTTCAGGTATTATAAAAGTAACAAAATGCTTTTAAAGATAATAAGCGTTACATTTTGAGATTGGCAGTGTTCACACTTTTCTGCTTAAGTGCTTTCCTAGTTTAACATAATTTAATAACAATTATGGGAGAATAGCTAACATCTGAGTTCTCATATATATCTTTTTTCCTTCCTTCAGTACATACACATTTTATATATTTATATATAAAAAAGTGATAAAATTTCATTCTCTAAGTGGTGGGTTTATGAACAGTAGCTTTTCTGCCTTTGTCCTCAGTGTTAGAAATATTGCTACTTTGTAATTTTTTAGCTCCTAATTATTAATCTACTGCAAAAAAGATACTGCTATGTAGATCCCCTTTCTACCCAGAAATTAGTTTTTTTAACAGTTTTATTAAGGTATAATTGATATGTAATAAACTGAACATATGTAAAGTGTACAATTTGAGTTTTGACCAATGTTTATACCTGTGAAATCAACCTCACAATCAAGATAATAAACATTTCCATTAGACCCAAGTTTCCCCACTCCCCTTTGTAATTTCTCTGTCCCACTTGGTCCTCCCACTGGTCCCCAGGCACCTACTGATCTACTTTCTAGAATTTTGTATAATTCTGTGTATTCTTCTCTGTCAGATTTCTTTCCCCAGCATAGGGATTCTTCTCTTGTGGCATATAATAATAGTTCATTCTTTTTATTCTGAGTAGTACTCCATTGTATGGATTTACTACATGGACATATGAATTGTTTTCAAGATTTGGCTGTTACAAATAGAGCTGCTGTGAACATTATGTAATGTCATTATATGAACATACGCTTTCATTTCTCTTCAGCAAATACCTAGGAGTGGAATGCTGAATCATATAGGAGGTGTATGTTTAATTTTTTAAGAAACTGCTCACATTAAAAAAAAAAAGATTGCTTATAAAAGTGGTTGTTAACATTTTACATTCCAGACAATAGTGTCTGAGAGGTCCTGTTTTTCCACAGCCTTCATTCTTGCTCACATTTGGTATGGCCAGTCTTTCTCTCTCTCTCTTTTTTTTTTTTTTTTGTAAGTAGGCTCCACGCCCAGCATGGAGCCCACCATGGGACCCAAACTCATGACTCTGAGATCAAGAGCAGAGGTCAAGAGTTGGACACTTCACTGACTGAGCCACCCCATCTTTCTCATTTTAGCCATCCTCATAGTGTGTAGTGGTAACTCATTGTGGTTTTAATTGCATTCCCTTAATGAGCAGTGATTTTAAGCATATTTTTATGTGCTTATTTGTCATCCATATATCTTTTTTGGTGAAATATCTGCAAATTTTTTGCCTAAAGACTTAAATGGAGAGAGAGGCCACATTAATGCATTAGACTTTTCAATATTGTTAAAATGGCAGTTCTCTTCAAATAGATCTACAGATTCAGTGCAATCCCAGTCAAAATCCCAACAGATTGATTTTAGAAACTGATGATATAATTCTAAAATACATAAGGAAAATGCAAATGACCTAGAATAGGAAACTGGAAAAAAAGAACAAAGTTAGAGGACTTAATATGACTTGATTTCAAGATATAAATCTACCCTTATCAAGACAATGTGGCATTATAGAAATACTCCTTGACTTAAGATGGGGTTACATCCTGATAAACCCATCATAAGTTAAAAATACTGTAAGTCGAAAATGCAATTAATACATGTAACCTACCGGACACCACAGCTTAGCCTAGCCTACCTTAAACATGCTCAGAACAATTATATTAGCCAACAGTTGGGCAAAGTCATCTAACACAAAGCCTATTTTATAATAATGTCTTGAATATCTCATGTAATTTATTGAATTCTGTACTGAAAACAAGAAGCAGAATGGTTGTATGGGCACAGAATGGTTTGTAAGTGTATTGATTATTTAGCCTTGTGGTAGCATGGCTCTCTGCCCAGCATCACAAGAATATCATACTGCATATTACTAGCCTGGAAAGATCAAAATTCAAAATTTGAAGTACGGATTCGACTGAACGCATATCATTTTTCACACCATTGTAAAGTCGCTTTATCATTAAGTCAGGCCACTGTAAGTTGGGGATTGTATGTATACCCGTACAAACTGCTGAAAGTAGTTGTATGTATATACAAAGGTGCAAAGATAATTCAGTGGAGGAAAGACAGTCTTTTCATTAAATTGGGCTGAAACAGTTTGCTGTATACCAAAGAAGATGAACTTCAATCCATATACAGAAATTAACTCCAATTGGATTATGAACTTAATGTAAAACCTAAGACAAACTTCTGGAAGAAAAAAAGCTTTGGGACTTCGGGTTTTCTTAATATAACACCCCAAGCAAGATCCGTATAAGAACAAATTGATAAGTTGGACTTAATCAAAATAAAAAATTTCTGTTCTTGAAAAATACTGTTGAGAATGAAAAGACAAGCCAGAGACTAAGAGAAAATATTTGCAAATTACATATCTGATAATGGACTTGTATTTAGATTACATAATGGGCATTCAAGGCTCAATAATAAGACAACAACCTAAAATGGGCAGACCTTTCTATAGACATAATATTTTGGCTACTTCAGAGATAACCCTTTTGTTACCATTAAAGCTTTATTTAAATTGATTTCATGAGGAAAAATTTTTCAAAATATATTTACCTTTTAGAGAATTGAACATATGTTTCCCTTGTTGGCAAATGGCTAGGAATCAGGTAATTCTGACTCCCTACTTCACTTCCTTTGCATTTACTTTTTACCTAGCCGTACTGCTTCAGTCAGCGTCAGAGTGGTGCTTCTTAATGAAACACCTCACCTCAGCTCAACCACTGCTTATTTTTTTGTTTGTCCCAGAGTTTTTCTAATGCTAGGACCAGGCGTGTCTGTATGCCCCTCGTATATATGCAGATCTGGAAATGTGAGAATTAATCATCTTTTTAGGACAGCTTGATGAGTCGGGAACAGAAGCAGTGAATAAATGTTTTGAGATTCTCTCTTTTTAGGCCGCAGTTCTGAGCTTTCTCTACAACTTCTCAGAGAGCCACCATTGACCACAGTGAACAGCTTGACGGCACACCCTTATTTTGGCTTTTTGTCCTCTTATTTCACTCTTCCCAGTACCCACTACCTCTCAGGTTATTGGCAGTAATCTTAGCGACTATCTGCACATAAGTGCTGACTTAGAGTGCTTTCTGGGGGAGACCCCAAGCTCAAATTATCATTGCGTGTATCACGTACTGTTAGATAAAGATGATGTGGGACAAGGGTCCAGATACACCAGTCATACCTATGGCCCAGAAATTTACCTCCTTAAAAAAAAAAAAAAAAATCATTTGCTTTTCGCCTATTTTTTTTTTTTAAAGATTGAACAAAACATACACAACTATATAGGACTTTCTAAGCAATATAACTTGACAGGACTTCTTTAAAATCAATTTATAAGTCAAAGACTACACTAGTCTTCTCTCAGGTGATTTCCTTGCCTATAGAAAATTGTCATCTTCACAGTTGCTATCAGCTTCCTTATATTGTCACCACCATTAGAAAAATTTTATGTTACTTCTGTATAGCAGTGGGCCATAGGCACTAACTTCTTTGCTTGTGCTTATGTGTAGTTTCTTTGTAGACTGTAAAAAAAAAAAATTGTTTCTCAGAATTTCAGTAACAGGTACTAGCATGTTTGTTTTTTTAAGGGTTTTTTTTTTTAAGATTTTATTTATTTGAGGGAGAGCATGAGTGGGGGCGAGAGAGGGATGGGGGAGCAAAAGAGGGAGAGGGAGAAGCAGACTCCCCGCTGAGCAGGGATCACAACATGGGGCTCGATCCCAGGACCCTGGGATCATGACCTGAGCTGAAGGCTGACGCTTAACGACTGAGCCACCCAGGTGCCCCTGCTTTCTTTTTTTAATAAAAATATCAACATTTCCTATGTAGGTTCATAAGAAATCCTAGAAAAATAACAAGATCAAAATATTAATGGCAGAATTTGAGGCTTTGTGATAGGCCATTACATTTTTTTTTATAGAACAAAGATTTTATTAACATTTTCTACTGTATAGAGTATAGACTTCAATTAAATGCATTTAAAGATCTAGCATTCCCTATGGAATTAGCATTGGTTTTTTTCTTTTTTTTTTTTTACTATTTTTAAATTTAAATTCAATTAACATAAAGTATATTACTAGTTTCAGAGGTAGAGTTCATGATCCGTCAGTTTCATATAATACCCAGTGCTCATTACATCACCCAGTTATCCCGTTCCCCCACCCCCTTCCCTCCAGCAATTCTGTTTGTTTCCTATGATTAAGAGTCTCTTATGGTTTGTTTCCCTTTCTGATTTTGTCTTAATTTTTCCTTCCCTTCCCCTGTGCTTCTCTGTTTTGTTTCTTAAATTCTACCTGAGTGATGGGGCACCTGGGTGGCTCGGTCAGTTAAGCGTCTGCTTTCGGCTCAGGTCGTGATCCCAGCGTCCTGGGATCGAGCCCCGCATCGGGCGCCCTGCTCAGCGGGGAGCCTGCTTCTCCCACTCCCCCTGCTTGTGTTCCCTCTCTCGCTGTTTGTCAAATAAATAAATAAATAAAATCTTTAAAAACAATTCTACATGAGTGAAATCATATAATTGTCTTTCTCTGATTGACTTCATTTAGCATAATACCCTCTAGTTTAATACACATCATTGCAAATGGCAAGATTTTATTCTTTTTGATGGCTGAGTAGTATTCCATTGTATATAAATACCACCTCTTCTTTATCCATTCATTGGTTGATGGACATCTGGGTTCTTCCCATAGTTTGGCTATTGTAGACATTGCTGCTATAAACATTGGGGTGCAAGTGCCTTTCGGATCAGTACATTTGTTTCTTTGGGGTGAATACCTAGTAATGCAATTTCTAGGTCGTAGGGTAGCTCTATTTTCGTTTTTTTGGGGAACCTCCATACTGTTTTCCAGAGCGGCTGTGTACCAGCTTGCGTTTCCACCAACAGCGTAAGAGGGTTTCCCTTTCTTTGGTACTAGCATGTTTTGAATAGAGTTTAGACTTAAGCATACAGACAATTCATGAGTGGACAATAACACTGTGGAAACCAGATCAGTCATTTCTTTCTCTGAAGGTGCATTGTCTAGTCATGGAGCTAATAACAACTTTATCTACCTCCCTGTTCATTGGCTGTGCTTTCTAAGGAAATAAGACACCATTTAAGGTTTTTAGATAATGGTATAACCTACTTTTCTGATAGTTTATTTTATTTATTAAACATGAACTGTAATAACCAACTTGACCTTTCTGTGCTCAAATGTCAGGGTACATCCTCCAGTGATAAAAGTGGGCAAGCATTGCCAAAATAGGCTCTGTTTTAACATTGTAAAACTAGTCCAGAAAATAGAATAAGCCTTTTTCGTTTTTTGTAAGGCACGTAGACCTTTGACCAGACAGACTTTCTGTTGGTTCATGATCTCAAGGTTTAAATACCAAATCCATCACACTGACCAGACTGCTTGCTTAGAAATTTTTTCAGTTGTGTTTGTTCAGAAATTTTCAGTGAATCAGTGCATGGATCCCACATAATAGATCTTTCCATTGAGAAGCCCATATACAGAATAGTCCAGGTATTCTGATTTTAGTGCAGAGAATTTCATTAAGTGTCTTAGGTGAACCTAATATTAGATTGATCTCTTAATATCTTTATGCTTGCTCTTTTCAAATTATGTTGAGAGGTCTATTTTTTCCCTATTTTTTTCTCAAGATTAATAAATTCTTGTTATTCTTCTGACCTTTGCTTTTCACACAGGAGGATTGGACTCCAAACCCAAGAATATCTCCCCTGTTAACTTAGCTTTGTGCTCCCTTGCAGATAATATTACAGAGGTAGTTTTCCAATTCCTGGTGTTTGGTCTGTACCTTTTTTTTCTGTTACAGTTCTGCCCCACATGGAAATACACACACTGAAAGATAGTGTGCTTGGTATGCCTCAACATGGGCCCTTGCTGCATATCTTTGGAGCAGGTAGAATAGAATGTCCTTTCCTCATCTTGTTTTATATTTTCTAGATATTTCAGTATTTCTCTTCCTTTCACTTTTATTTTATTTTATTTTTAAAAGATTTTATTTACTTGAGAGAGAGAGAGAGAGAGAGAGCAGGAGCAGGGGGAAGTGACAGAGGGAGACAGAGAAGCAGGCTCCCGGCTGAGTAGGGAGCCCGATGCTGGGCTCGATCGCAGGACCCTGAGATCATGACCTGATGGAAGGCAGATGCTTAACCAACTGGGCCACGTGGGTGTCCCTTTCACTTTTTTTTTTTTTTTAAAGATTGAACAAAACATACACAACTATATAGGACTTTCTAAGCAATATAACTTGACAGGACTTCTTTAAAATCAATTTATAAGTCAAAGACTACACTAGTCTTCTCTCAGGTGATTTCCTTGCCTATAGAAAATTGTCATCTTCACAGTTGCTATCAGCTTCCTTATATTGTCACCACCATTAGAAAAATTTTATGTTACTTCTGTATAGCAGTGGGCCATAGGCACTAACTTCTTTGCTTGTGCTTATGTGTAGTTTCTTTGTAGACTGTAAAAAAAAAAAATTGTTTCTCAGAATTTCAGTAACAGGTACTAGCATGTTTGTTTTTTTAAGGGTTTTTTTTTTTAAGATTTTATTTATTTGAGGGAGAGCATGAGTGGGGGCGAGAGAGGGATGGGGGAGCAAAAGAGGGAGAGGGAGAAGCAGACTCCCCGCTGAGCAGGGATCACAACATGGGGCTCGATCCCAGGACCCTGGGATCATGACCTGAGCTGAAGGCTGACGCTTAACGACTGAGCCACCCAGGTGCCCCTGCTTTCTTTTTTTAATAAAAATATCAACATTTCCTATGTAGGTTCATAAGAAATCCTAGAAAAATAACAAGATCAAAATATTAATGGCAGAATTTGAGGCTTTGTGATAGGCCATTACATTTTTTTTTATAGA